CAGAAATGCTTGTTTGGAGAGATTGGATGGGCCTGAGGTAGCGGAACCCTCACAAGGTACATACCTGCCTTTTTTATACGTGTGAGTCTTGAGCAGAGGATGCATTTATCTTGGAATCTCTCCTCCTCCCTGTAACTGATCACAGTTTTTAATATGACTGGCTAACCATGATAGCAACAAATGATGACTGCGTAACCTGACAATGTCTAGTGACATTTGAAAGACCCATATAGTAAATCAGAATGACGGGGTTATTCTTGAGGGAGTCCTCAGCGGCATTCAGCTATTCCCTCACTGCCGTTCGGCCCCTATGAGAATAGGGGCGAACGGCAGCACGTGAGCTGCCGGAGCTTTGGCTCAACCGATTCAGATATTGGATCAGCTGATTCGAATTCCCTCTGCACGTCGGCTCAGCAGAACATGCAGCGCATGTTTGGCTGACCGAAAGCAGCCGACGTACGGCTGAAATCAGCCGTACTGAGCCGGAGTGAATAGCCGAACGTCGTTCGGCTCACTTCACTTCGTCTAGGTTAGTCACTTGGCTGCTTTCAACAGCTTTGTGAATAACCCCCTATATGTTTTGTGTTGAGATAAGGAATAACTTTATCACTATTCTAAGGGGCATATATCTATCCTCATTATTCCTTGTGTTCAGTGTTTTACAGCTCCGAGCTTTGAGCTATAAAATGCCCAGGTGTGAAGGGGGACTAAAGCAGGATGGGGGTATACAGAAAGGCTGGGGAGTGGTCACACAGGGCCTACAGGTATACCCTGGAAATAAAGCATGGACTGCCTTTTCATATAATACAGAAGCTGGAATGCCTTGGAACGTCTTTAAAAGCAGAACAGCAGCCAATTGCATCAGATTTTTTTGGGACCATGCCAGGTTTTGAGGGATTCCCCTGACATTTTTTGTTTCTAGAAATGCCCCTAATTCTCTTTTTCTCATCTCCTTCACAGTAAGGAATTCATGGCCTAAACTTACTATAGACGGACAGATTTGTCCCTTAGAACAGGGCTCAGGTTGGGGACCACTGCCTTAGAACATTGATCAGGGAGATGTGTAGTGCTGGGCCCTGATGCTCTGGGTCATACAGCTCAACAGTGATGTCAGAAGTGGTTCCCACCTTCCTTCCATCTTAAATCTGCCAAGTTGTGCAGAGATTTTCCAACAGCTAATACATCTCTGCATGTTATAATTGTGACGTACAACTAGCCCGAACCCGTCGTACGGCAATCACACGTGACTATATGTAGTTCTGGACCGAGCAAGCCGTCACAAGGACGTGGCGATACCACTCTCAGCCTCACCCTGCACAGAGATTTCATCATTGGTTGCTAAGATGCTCTTTGGCTGCACAACCAATAGTATCCCAGCAACCAATGACACTATGCAGCCGACAGTATCCTAGCAACCAATGACACTATGTAGCCGACAGAATCCTAGCAACCGATGACACTGTGCAGCCAACCGAATCCTGGCAACCAATGACACTGTGCAGCCAGCAGCGTCCCAGCAACCAATGACACTCTGCAGCTGACAAAATCCTAGCAACCAATGACAGTGCAGCCAACAGCATCCCTGCAAACAGTGACACTCTGCAGCCAACAGAATCCTAGCAACCAATGACAATGTGCAGCTGACAGAATCCTAGCAACCAATGACACTATGTTCCAGTGCATTTCAGACCAGAGAAAATGAGACAAGCATTATTTTTTTTGTGCGGTCCATAGGGATATTTGGATGCTTTTTTGGTCCAGGAACAAACTGTTCTGGTCTGGACATGGTGTGAACAAGCCCTTAATAGGAAGATTGCCCCCCCCGCCCCATAGACTTCGGTGGGGTTCACTGCATAGTTCACAAACTTCCGGCAAGATTGTCAGAAGTATTCATGAGCCGAACCCAGGATGATTTGCTCATCCCTAATCAGCAGAACTGAGATAGAATAAAGGATGAAAGTTATTTATTTACCCAAAATGTCAGTTGTTTATGACACACAGGCAATAAGATGTCATTTAATGAAGGCTTACTTCTAATTTACAGTGTTAAAGTGTTAACAAACCCTTATTTGTTTTTGCATGTATCTACTGCTAACAAGCAGTAGATATATACAAAACGATTAAAAAAAGAAAACTTTTCAAAAGGTAATACCGCATGCTCGCTCCCTCCCGAACATCTGAAAATTTCTCGGGCGGCCGCAAAGGATCTTGGCCGAAAACATGTGCAGTTCAGATGTTCGGATGAGAGATGAGGGGAGACACAAGGTAAGTCTATGGAGCAGCGTGCACCCGCACAGACTCCGTGTGGCATGAGCGAAGAGGAGGAGAGGAGTCAGCGCTGGATCAGAGACCCGCACCAGCGTTGGAGGGACAGCTAAAAAGGATAGGAAAGAAGAACATGAACCACTCACGGGAATGAGATCTTGCAGTGTGTATGGGGGAGATGTTGGGTTCCAATCCCCTGTATCCGGGGGGCCAGTCCCCAGTGCCTGGGGGGAATGCCAGTCCCCTGTGCCCAGGGTTTCAGTCCCCTGTGTCTAGGGTAACAGTCCCCTATATCCGGTGTGCTCGTTCTCTGTGCCTGGGGTTTCAGCCCCCTATCCACAGGGTTCCAGTACCCTGAATCTTGGGTGCCAGTTCCCTTATGAACAGGGTTCCAGTGCACTGTATCCGGGTTGAAAGTCCCCTGTGTCTGGGGTTCCAGTCCCCTGTAACCAGTATGCCAGTCCACTATGCCCAAGGTGCTTCTCCTGTGTCTGGGGTGCCAGTCTCTTGTGCATGGGTATCAGTCACCGGTGCCCGGGCCGGGGTGCCAGTCTTCTGTGTCTTGGCTGTTAGTTCCCTGTGCCTGGGATGCTAGTCCCCTGTGCCAGGGCTGCTATCTCCACCACCACCTGATGCCTTGTGTTCCAGTCCCCAGGGTGCCAGTTCCCTGTTCCGGGAATGCCAGTCCCATTTCTGGGATTCCAGTCCCCTGTGCATGGTTATCAGCAGGGGCGGAACTACCGCCGGTGCAGCTGCATCAGGGCCTGAAGCTGTGGGGGGGCCCAGTGAGTGGGGCACCCCGCCCCGGTGGAATATGGGGGCAGTGCAGAGTCCCGGGGCCCCGCACTGCCAACGGGCTTCTCAGCAAGGGGACGGGTCCTGTGACTCACCGCTCCTCTCCCGGCCGCATCCCTAGTCACGGGCGGCGGGAGAGAAGTGTGTGTGTCACATGCCCCACACCCTGCAGTGCACACTGTCTGGCCGGCATGCTGTGGCAGCTGGTCTGGTGAGTACGAATGAGGATCGGGGGGGTTAGAGTGTAACTGCACACCGTGTGCTGTTATTTCATCTAATTAGAAAAATGGATTATAATAGGCAACATTACACAGTAATGTTGCCTATTATAATCTATTTCTCTGATTAAATGATTAGACAGGGCCGCTGTTTTATCAAAGTTTGTGACTACATTAGAATGTGTGACCGGTCACGTGATCACACATTTTACTGTAATCCCGGCCAGTTTTTTGGCGGTGGAATGTGTGACCGCCAATAGGTCAAGCATTCCAATGCTTTGTCACCTGTCCCGGGGGCCCTGAGTCCAGTGCGTCCCGGGGGCCCTGAGTCCAGTGCGTCCCGGGGGCCCTGAGTCCAGTGTGTCCCAAAGCCCTGAGTCCAATGCGTCCCAAAGCCCTGAGTCCAATGCGTTCCTGCGACTTTAGCGACTGTCGGGGAGGGTTGGTGGGTATCAGTGTGATCCGCTCCCGCGCACCCCCTTCCCTCTTGGGAGGGGGGGCCCCCAAGATGAAATCTTGCACCAGGGCCCTTTGTTCATTAGGTCCGCCACTGGGTATCAGTCCTCTGTGCCTGGGATGTCAGTTCCATGTGCCTGGGATGCCAGTCCCCTGTGCCCAGGGTGTTAGCCTTCCCTGATGCCAGTGTCACAATCCCCTGTATCAGGGGTGCCATTCCCCTACGTCCGAGGTGTGTAGTCCCCTGTGTCCGGGGTGTTATTCCCCTGTGTACCAGTCCCCTGTGTCCGGGGTGTGTAGTCCCCTGTGTACGAGTCCTTAGTCCCCTGTGTACAAGTCCCCTGTGTCTGAGGTGTGTAGTCCCCTATGTACCAGTCCCCTGTGTCCGGGGTGTGTAGTCCCCTGTGTACCAGTCCCCTGTGTCCAGGGTGTTAGCCCCCTGTGGACAAGTCCCCTGTGTCCGAGGTGTCAGTCCCCTATGTCCAGGGTGTTAGTGGCTTGTGTCCGGTGTGTGTAGTCCCCTATGTCTGGGGTGTTAGTCCCCTGTGTACAAGTCCCCTGTGTCCGGGGTGTCAGTCCCCTATGTCCAGGGTGTTAGTGGCTTGTGTCCGGTGTGTGTAGTCCCCTATGTCTGGGGTGTTAGTCCCCTGTGTACCAGTCCCTTATGTCCAGGGTGTTAGTCCCCTGTGTACCAGCACCCTGTGTCCGGGGTGATGGTGCCCTGTGTGTCAGTCTCCTGTGTCCGGGGTGTCAGTCCCATATGTCCAGGGTGTTGGTCCCCTGTGTACCAGTCCCTTATGTCCAGGGTGTTTGTGCCCTGTGTCCGGGGTGTTAGTCCCTGTGTACTAGTCCCCTATGTCCAGGGTGTTAGTCCCCTGTGTACCAGTCCCGTGTCCTGGGGTGTGTAGTCCCCTGTGTACCAGTCCCCTGTGCCCGGGGTGTGTGGTCCCCTGTGTCCGGGGTGTGTAGTGCCCTGTGTTCCAGTCCCATGTGTCCCAGTCCCCTGTGTCCAGGGTGTGTAGTCCCCTCCCCTGTGTACCAGTCCCCTGTGTCCGGGGTGTGTAGTCCCCTATGTACGAGTCCCCTGTGTCCGGGGTGTGTAGTCCCCTGTGTAGCAGTCCCCTGTGTCCGGGGTGTGTAGTCCCCTGTGTACCAGTCCCCTGTGGCCGGGGTGTGTAGTCCCCTGTGGCCGGGGTGTGTAGTCCCCTGTGTCCAGGGTGTGTAGTCCCCTGTGTCCAAGGTGTGTAGTCCCCTGTGTAACCGCTCTGACCGTCCCTTCTCCGAGGACCCCCCTCAGCGCCCAGCACACCCCGCAGCTCCCCTGAATGACGGGCGGACGCTTTGATTTCGACGATGGCGGCACTTATTGCGGTGGCTGGGAGGATGGCAAAGCTCACGGGCACGGCATTTGTACGGGCCCCAAGGGGCAAGGGGAGTACTCGGGCTCCTGGTCCCACGGCTTCGAGGTAGTCGGGGTTTACACCTGGCCCAGCGGCAATACCTATCTGGGCTACTGGGCGCAGGGCAAGAGGCATGGGCTGGGCGTGGAGACCAAGGGCAGGTGGACGTACCGTGGCGAGTGGTCCCATGGTTTCAAGGGACGATACGGGGTCCGGCAGAGCCTATGCACCCCGGCCAGGTACGAGGGGACGTGGAGCAACGGGCTGCAGGACGGGTACGGCATCGAAACCTATGGAGATGGAGGTAAGTGACCGCTCAACATGACTCTGATCACCTGTCATGTCCCTTACCAGGTCCCCGATCACCTGTATGTCCCCTACCAGGTCTCTGATCACATGCATGTTACTTATGTCCCTTATGACATGCATGTCCCTAAACACCTATGTCACCTACCAGGTCCTGATCACCTGTATGTCACTTATCATGTTCCTTATGAAATGCATGTAACTTATGATGTCCCCAATCACCTGTATGTCACTTACACAATATGTCACTTATCATATTCCTTATCACCTGCATGCATGTCACTTTCCCATCATGTGACTTACCCATCATTTTTCTGCAATATACTGGCTATCATTTCCCTGCATGTCACTTATACATTATATCCCTGCATCACACTTACATGTCATGTCCTTCCTCCTCTGCATGTCACTCATCATATCCCTGCATGTCACTCATCATATCCCTGCATGTCACTTATACATTATATCCCTGCATCACACTTACATGTCATGTCCTTCCTCCTCTGCATGTCACTCATCATATCCCTGCATGTCACTCACTCATCATGTCCCTGCTCATCCTGGTGTCACTCACACATCACGTTCCTGCTCACCTGCATGTCACTAACTTATGTCCTTATCTGCATATCACTTACACATCTTGTCCCTGCTCATCTTCTTGTCACTCATTCATTCTCTCCCTGCTCACCTGCATGTCACTTGCTCATCATGCCAGTCTGCTATGTACCAGCTGTGCCCAGCCATGGACATTACATAGTTGCCAGCTGGCCCTTCTTGACAGTCCCGAGCTTTGGCGATTTGTCCCTGGAACTTTTGTGTCTTGACATTTGTCACTTTTACACTGTGGAATGCTTTTGGTACACTTCCTATCGTGCCTTCCAGTCTTCTCTGTAGTTACTCCTTCCAGTCTTCTCAGCTGTTGTATACAGTAGTTGTGATGGCGGCAGGATACAAATGTTATCATAAAAGTATGTCATATAAAATATTCTATCATTAGTGTATTGCATTAGAGTTTACAAAACAAGGAGTAACTACAAATCACCCCAAAAGTTGTCAGGTAGGAGCTTGTCAAGTATATGGATCACCCTGTGTGCCCGGACGGGCATTCCATAGTTTTGAATTGTTGCCACTAGACAGTGATCACCTTTCCTTCACCTCTAATGTTCATTTATGTTTTCCTATAGAGCGATATGTAAAATAAAATGATATATACCGGTAGTACTGATTGCTGGATGTGCAGTGAGGAGGTTGTAGTGCACTGTGATCCTCAGGTCTCGTTCACACCTAGGCGTATTGCATATGCGCGTCTGTCGCGCATTTTTTACCGCGATTCGCGGTAAAAAAAGTTGCGCGACCGTCGCGCGTTTCCGAAGGCTACTTGGTTGTATCCCAATGGAAACGCGCAACAAAACGGCCCAAAGTAGTACATGTACCTTTTCAGGCGTGGGCGTTTTGTAGCGCGTTAGGGACGGGCGGAAATACTCCAAGGTGGGAACGAGACCATTGAATACAATGGGATTTATATTTTTGAGCGTTTTGTAGAGCGTTCGTCGAGCGTAGAACGCGCTACAAAACGTTCAGGTGTGAACGAGGGCTGTCAGAGACAGTCCTCATAATTTGCTGAGGTTGATGGCTTCCGCAGCAAAGTATCCCATGAAATGATCCCTATTGTGTCATCAACCATGTGTGTCATTCATTATGCCATCCAACCATTGTGCCAGCTATCTCATCCAGACGGCAGCATTAATTTTTTCACCTCGTAGTAGCATGAGATTAATTCGGTTTTAATAGATGTCTGTTTTGAAAACATTTTAATCAGTTTTACAGGAAAGGATCCAGTGCACAAAAAAATAAGATAACAAGATAAAAAAGTAAATAAACAAATGAATTTCCAGGTAGTTGAAGCCTGAGCTGAAAAGGAAGGTTTGCAACAATGCTTTTTTTTTCCTGAAGGGGTTAAATGAGCTTCCGTGGTTGAACTCCCACACAGATTATGATAAATCATCGGGTGTCACCTTCAGGTAACACAAATGGTCGGTTTTCTATGGGCAGTGACTCCACTTTTGCTCCAGTTTTGATAAATTCCTTCGGACAGTCGGGTTGGAGTCCAGACACGGAGGATTCATATAAATGCAGTAGGGGGCCTCAGGGTCTGAGAATTCCCTGCAGACGCAGAGCCCGAGTAGAGATCATTAGATGGAGCCGGATAGCAAAGATGATCCGACTTGCAGCTACAGCAGACACCTGTCATGGAATTCTTTCTTGTATTCACAGCTGAGAATAGGAGAGCTACAAGTTGTCTGTGAACTACATCAGCGAGCTGGTCAGAGGATATTAAACGTGTTCTCCCTACACTTCTTTTTAGCATCACTGGCAGATCTAGGATGGATCAGAAAAAGGATTTGTTTGTTTTTGCTAGTATATGTTAATGGACGGAGATTAAGGGCCCAATCACACCACATCCAGATCATCTCCAGACCAGATTGTTTCTGGACCCAAAATGCATCCCTATGCTATTTCTGGCCTCTGTTCACACCAGCGCAGTCCGTTCCAGACCAGAAAAATACTGCTCATCCTATTTTGTCTGGTCTGGAACGCATAGAAATGCATAAAAACGCATAGACACGCACTGGAACGCACCTGTAAGACCATTTTAAGGTTAAAAAAAACCTCCAGAAGCTCAGTAGGTCGGCTCAGTAGATCGGGAGGTGAGCGAACACATACCGGGTTCGCTCACCTCTCGATCCTGTCATGGCTCTCTGCCGTGACAGGGGAGGCGCTGGATTCCCCTCTCCGATCTGCCAGCGCTGACTGGCAGAACGGACGGGGGAGGGGGCGGGTACAGCTGGCTCTGCCTATCTAGATAGGCAGGGCCAGTTGTCACTCACGCAGCTGGGTGGATCCCGACGTCCAGGTGGGGATCCGCTCCGGCTGCGGCGTCTCAGTATACCGCGAGCTGTAGCTCGCGGTATACTGAGCTTAGGGTAACGGGAGGACGCTAGTTTGTGTCCTCCCGTTACCCTAAGGAGAACTATGGGGAAAAACACTGACCCCATAGTTCTCCTTTTAAGCAGGAGAGTAGAATTGTAAAAATGTGCTGTATGGGGTTAATAATGGCCACAGACTTAAAGGAGAACTATGAGGTGAGTGATTTCCACTCATCCTCATAGTTAAAGTCAACCGGTGACAAAGAAGCTGTCACAGGTCGGCTCTATCAATCGGGAAGTGAGCAGAAACATGCCGCCGATCCGCTCACTTCCCGATCGTCTCCCTGCAGTGAACCAGCTAGTATATGTCCTCCCGTGACCCTAAAGAGAACTATGGGGAAAAACACTTACCCCATGGTTCTCTTTTACACTGGTTGAATTTCGGCTGGGTCTGCAGGGCCAGTGTGTGGCCCTGTCTGCACCCCTCCGCTCAACAAAAACTGATTTTTTTCAACTGACTTTTGTCACTTTTGTCAAAAGAACCGGTCCGAAAAGTTTTGGCCGAATACATTAGGCCAGCAGGGGGATTCCTTCCTCTGAGCTGTTTGGCGTGGATGGAGGAATCTGCGAGATTTCAGGCTGAATGAAAAAAATGTATTAGTGTAAGGGCAGGCTTATAGTAAGACCTTTGAGGAAAAAAAAATGGGTGTAGGCTAGAGCTTTTAACCATGATGTGCTAGTATACCCAGCATATTGGCAGATTTATCTGCCAAACCAATCCCCTCCAGAGCTGCATGTCTCGCTCGTCGGTGCTTCCACCTTCACCCATATCTTCCCAGTTTTGAATCTTCGGCAGCTTAATTGGCCGGGCCCCAATGATGTAACTCTCGTTTGCATACTTCATCTCGGCATGCCAGGTCTGTGCACTGAGTTATGCATGTGCATTGCTGAATGGCAACAAGAAACTTTAATGGCAGAAGGGACTAAGGGCCCATTCACACCTAACAGACACTATTGCACAACACACCTAGCGTGTGTTACTGTGCTCTAGGTGCCTTGCCATTCATTTGAATGACACCTCAACGCACCTCCTGGCCATTGTGGTACAGTAATAGAGTGTGTTGCGGGGCAATAGTAATGCACTGATTACTTTTTTTTACCATGCATTGTGGTACTGCACATTGCACTGCGTTGCAAGGCGCAGCAGTGAGGAGGTGCGTTGGGGTGCCGTTAAAATGAACAGCAACGCAATGCACTAATGTTTATTTCATTGAAAGAACGAATCCTTACAGAAATCCCTGAATGGACAGTTTGATCAATAAATGATCATTTTCACTTATGTGGAACGATTGGTCAGAGTGAAAAATACAATTTGAATTTGACCAAATCAATAATTTTCTTGATTACATTGAATGTTTTTGAGAGAGAGACTTTTTTGAAATAATTGAATCAATAATTGATTGTTCATTTAGCGTTGTCTTTATATGTATGGAGAGCAGATAGGCTGTTATTTTCCCTTAGTTTAGTAAATGTGGTGAAAATTCACTTTGTAAAGAATACCCAATCACGTTCAAGGAAAAAAATTAAATAAAAACAGGATTTTTGCCTGCACCGCAATGTGTTTTAGTGTCATACTTTCAATGGACTGAAGCTTGGCTCTCCCCAGAGCGTAATAGGGTCAGAACATCAGTCGGCTTTTAACTGCTGTGTGTGTCCCTTTGGGCAGAAGTAAAATGATCTTCAGCTCCTATTAAACTGAGTTGATTGTAGATCCATGATTATCACAATGACCGTATCCCATATCACTTTCATTACAGGTCATTGTGCTGGTGAAGATCATTTACGTGAGTTGTGATGGTATCCATCTTGTTACTACAGAAGCCAATAAAACCTTTGCAGCTTAATACCGGTTATAGGGCAATAGGTATATATTGGGCCACTGGTGAAATTTCTCTTTACTGTCTGTCCTAGAGGTGCAGCAGGATGTCATTGTAACTCTTCCTGGGAGCAGAGCAAACCCATCCTTTGACACTTGGCATGAGAGCAAGAGAATTTTCCCATATTAACTGTT